TCAGAGTTCTTCCCCAGGGTTTTAAGGGGATCTGGCAGAGAAGAGACTCATTTCTCCATTGGGAGGTTGTGGAGATATGCCCTAGAGTTGGGGTTGGGGAGGCCCGTTTACAGAAGCTGTTTGAGCCCATGGAGCCCATCCTGAAAGCAAAGATAAGGATGCATCCAGATTGATCTCTCTCTTCCCTCCATTATTTATATGATTAAATACAGTCTTCTTTTTGGCTTAAGCTAGTTCGAGTTGGGGTTTTGTCTCTTGCATCCAGAGAGTCCTGATAAATACAAAAACAACTTTGGAGTGTTTACATTAATTTGTAAGTTCTCTGTTACATTAATTTTAGAAGCAATTGTGTTATCTATCATTTATAGTTTTTACCTTATCTGTGTGGTTTATTTTCATTTGAAAAGCCAATTTAGATGTATCACAAGATTCTTCCTCATGCTAAGATGGAATACATACAAAATGCAGTTTTTTAAATGTTTATTTATTTTTGACAGAGAGAGAAGACAGAGCATGAGCGGGGGAGGGGCAGAGAGAGAGACAGGGAGACACAGAATCTGAAGCAGACTCCAGGCTCTGAGCTGTCAGCACAGAGCCCGATGCAGGGATTGAACTCCCAGACTGCAAGATCATGACCTGAGCCGAAGTCACAGACTCAACCGACTGAGCCACCCAGGCGCCCCCAAAATGCAGTTTTTTAGATACAATATTGCAGCTTTCTGTAACAGCAGTCTGCTGCATTACTTATTCAATGTCCTCAGTAGAGTAACAGTAACATTTAATGAGGTATAGCATTTAAGGAGTGTGGAGTTTTCAGCTGAATTTCAATCTGGCTTTCCCTCATGGAAATATGATCCCTGTAGGAATTCCCCATGATACAGCACAGTGATTTGAGAGGTAGTTTAGAAGAAGAGATTTTATATTTCACTCAGGCACTGAAAGAGAAAATGTCAGTCTTCCTGAATCCGAATCATAGAAGCTGCAGACATTTTAGGAAAAGCAAAGATTTGAGAGCCTGTCATATGATTTTGAAAGCTAAAGCAGTAAAATAGTTTCTATCTGGACAGAAACTTGATGATTTCATTCATCTCAAACAATAGTTAATACTACTGATTACTATTATTATTATTAACTGATTTATTGAAGTCTGGTTTCATACCATAAAAACCCACCTTTTTTTAGAGTTAAATTCAGTGAGTTTTAGCAAATTATAGTTGTGTAACCATCACCCCAACCATCCTTAGAACGTTTTTATCATTCTAAAGAAAGATCCCTTGTACCCATTTGCATCCACTGTCCGTTCTCACCCCCAGCTCCAGACAACCACTTTCTGTCTCTATACATTTGTCTTTTCTGGACAGTTCATGTAAATAGGATAATGTGTTTTTTGTGTCTGACTTCCTTCATTGACATAACATTTTTGAAGTTTATTCATGTTGTAGCACATATCAAAACTTCATTCCTTTTATCATTAAATAGTATACCATTATATGAAACATGCCACATTTTGTTTATCCATTTACAAATTCATAGACCTTTGGATCATTTCCAGTTTTTTTGACTATTATGAATAATACTGTTATGAATATTTATCTATAAGTTTTTGTGTGGACATATGGTATAAATTCTCTTGGGTAGATTTCTAGGAGTGGAACTGCAGGGCTCTATGGTAAATTTATGTTTAATTTTTAACTTAATTTAATTTTTTTTAAGTAGGCTCCACACCCATGGTGGGATTGAACTCAGGACCCTGAGATCAAGAGTTGCATGTTCTACCAACTGAGCCAACTAGGCACTCCTAATTTTTTTTTTTATTAGAATATAGTTGACAGACAATGTTACATTAGTTTCAGGTGTACAGCTTGTGGTTTGACAAGTTTATACATTATGCTATGTTCACCACAAGTGTAGCTACCATCTGTCCCATTATATTGCTATGACAATATCATTGACCTTATGCTCTGCTTTTTATTCCTGTGACTTCCGCATTCTATAACTTGGAGGCCTGTACAGTATCTTCCACTTCTCTTCACCCATTTTGCTCAACCCTCCACCCCCCTTCCCTCTGGCAACCATCACTTGTTCCCTGTAATTGTATGGCCGACTCTGCTTTTTGTTTACTCCTTTTTTTAAAATATTCCATTATGAGCGGAATCATATAGTATTTGTCTCTCTTACTCTGACTTATTTCACTTAGCATAGTACCCTCTAGGTCTATCCATCTTGTCTCAAATGGTATGTTTAAATTTTTAAGTAACTGCCAAACTGTTTTCCCAAGAGGCTGTACTATTTTACATTCCCATCAGTACAGTATGAGGGTTATTGTTTTTCCATATCCTTGCCAACATTTGTTATTGTCTATCTTTTTGATTATCACCATTCTAGTGGGTATGTATAGTAGTATCTGACAGTTGTAATTTGCATTTCCTTAATGACTAATGATGATGAGCATCTTCTCTATGTCTATTGGCCATTAATATGTCTTCTTTCCAAAAATGTCTGTTCACATATTTTGCCCATTTTTCAATTGGTTTATTTATGTTCTTGTTATTACCAATGATTTTTAACAGTTTTTTTGATTTTGAACAAGTCTGATATCCTCATTACCAGAATAAGTGGGAAATCTGACAAGTGTCTGGATTTCTGTGCATGTGCTGCAATGAATATGTAACTGAAATACAGGGTAGTATTTAAATTTTGCTGTTGTTGTTTAGAGAAAAAGAGACCCTGGTGGGATTCTGTGGACATTTGCAGAATTTTAGGAGTGTATAGAGACCACTGAGAAGTGCTGAAAAGGCTTCATTTGCCAGCATGCATTATCATGGTCAAGCAGGGAGGGCACTCTTGTTATTTTCCACAGGAAAACAATCCTGGAGAGCTATATCAGCACACTTCCCCGACTGCCTTAACCCACAGACGTTGACTAGTGACTACATACTAGTTCTACCTTAGTTTGAAATATTCCTGGAATTTACTTGCTTTATAATTTGGTGATTCATCAAGAGAATTATTGAGCAACTTTTTTTTTTGAGCAACTTTTGAATTACTTATCACTGCTTGATAATTAGTATGAAATGCTTTATTTATATAGAGGGTCAGGGCATGTGAAATAGTATGTTTAAGTTGTGTTCAATTCACTTATAAATTTGGGGTCATGGATTGGAAATACTCTTATTCTACTTCCTTGAATTATTTCTCCTACAGTTTTTTGTTTTTTGTTTTTTTTTGGTTGTCCTCTGTCATGTGTTACTAAGGTATTTGTATAACACAGCCAAGTGTCTGGAAGTAAGCTGTGGAAACTTCAATGAGCTGTAGATTTTTAGTTCTGGAAAGATCGTTAATGATTCTCTCTCTCAAGATTTATATTTTGCTGTGTAGGAGATTTTGATTCCTTAGGTCTGAGGTGGTGCCTGGGAATCTGTTTTTGTGAGTAGAGCTTCAGGTGATTCTTAGGGATCAGGTAGGTTTGGGAAATACTGGCATGGTAATTAAGATCAGGGCTTTGGAATCAGATGGATCTGGGTTCTAGTCACATTTCATTTAATAGCTAGCTGTGTGTTTTGGGGCACATAAATCATCTCTTTAAGTTTTAGTTTCCTCTAATTACAGTTCTTATCTCATAGAATTATCAAGAGAATTAAAAGAACTAACATAGATAAAGAGCATGGCCCATAATAAATATGCAACAAGCATTATCTGTTGTAATTATGTTCTATTTAACAATCAGACAAATATTTGAGCATTTATGGCCAATGATGAAATTTGGCAGTGAAGAAATTTAGGAATTTGGGGTGCCTTGGTTAAGCAGGCTCAGGTCAGGATCTCACAGTTTAGTGAGCTCTAGCTCCACGTAAAGCTCTGCTCTGACAGTGTGGAGACTGCTTGGCATTCTGTCTCCCTCTCTCTGTCCCTCCCTCGCAAGCTCTGTCTCTCTCAAAATGAAATAAATTAAAAAAAAAAAATTTACCATTAGTAGTGGGGTGGAGATGAGATTTTACAGTAACGGCAATAAGTTGTTTAATCAAGGGGTGTCTGGCTGGCTCAGTTGGTAGAGCATGGGACTCTTTAAGACCTCTAGGTGCGAAGTTCAGACCCAGATTACATGTAGAGTTAAAAAAAAAAGTTATATCATCAAGTAAGTTAAGAGGAGCCATCCTTTTGAAGAAAATAAATTATAGGGGCAGACTGTGCTAGAATTGGTTTGTAGGGTGAGTGAGAGGAATACAGTAGTGTGGGAACTAGAAGCAATAAAGCCCCAGAGGCAGGAAATGATAAAGGCTCACAAAACAGTGAACAGTCCCATTGGTCTCTTTCATATGGCAAACCTGGAGTAGTGTCAGGAGATAAGGACAGAAAGATGGGTTTTTGAGAGAGGATTTAAGGAGCTTGGCTTTTTTTTCCCCACTGAAAATCTTGAACAGGAATGTGATAGTGAGAATGTAGTGTACTTTAATCGCCTAAAAAATGTACTTTAGATTAACTTGGTAATAGCGTGAGGGTAAGAATTGATTCAGGGGGAAAAACTAGGAGTTAGCTTTAATAGTAATAGTGATTCAGTAGTAATTAAGGATTAATAACAATGGGAATCTACATCGTAAAACGAAATGCAAATACTTAAAGTACATCTGCAAGATGCTGTGTGTAATTCCACAGTCCAGGTAAATACAGAAGGAAAAAGTCCATATGAAAGATTTTTCATGTGGTCCATATCAAAGTGGCCCGTATTTACTTATTTATTCATTTTTAAGGCGGATCCTTTATTTCGGTAGCTCTCAACTTTGAGAGCCAAGAGGAGGGGGAAGTAACACCCCAGGTCCCACGAGAGAGGGGCGGGGAGCAGGCCCCGCAGCCCGAGGGGGCGTGTGCAGGGGCGGGGACGCGGACCGAGGTGCGCGGGGTATCGCGAGAGTTGGGCGGGCCGAGCAATCGCAGCAGTCAATTCCCCCACCCTCCCGGGAGGAGCCGCCGGCCCTGGGCTCTCCAAATTCTGAGCTCTCATCATGGCGGCGGCGGCCGCGGCGGCCGTCGGGGGGCCGCAGCCGCCCCAACCCGAGCTGCCCGCGCCCGGGCTGGCCCTGGACAAGGCGGCCACCGCGGCGCACCTGAAGGCGGCCCTTAGCCGGCCGGACAACAGGGCAGGTGCTGAG